GTTTTATTTACAACTGAATTGAAAGGTGTCAACAACAGAAGACTTGTCCGTCCAGCCTTACATGTTTGAGCCAGAGTTCGATCCACTAAATGCTGATTAAATACGCACTAATTTAATTTAAATATTAGCTAAAATACAATAAATAAATATAGATTTTCAGTAGTTTTAGGTTTCATTATACAGTATATGTAAGTAATTTAATAAAATCACATGCAAAGATTAAAACTAAAAACTATGAAAAGCTTACTGTGTTTTTATGACATGGAGCATTTTCACTTTATTGATTTTTTTTCTTCATTGTTTTATATTTTTTTTGCACCATGCTGCTACTATTTTTTTTTTATTTCCGACTCATCATACAGCGAGCTGAAATTTTTTGTTGTCATGTTTTGTTAATCAATAATTTCATCTGGACTTGTTTTGTAGAAATGATTTGCTTAATCCCAGATTTGAGGCTCACACTGATTTGATCTGTTTGCGGCAGGGTACAGTGTTCCTCATGCAGGTCCCGCTGAGCGGATCCACATCCTCCACAATGACGAACGGCGCCTCCTCCAATGTCACGATGGACAGGTGGTCATCTTCTTTGCTAGCTGCTCCCCCATACAGCTCATAGCGAGGCCACACATGGTATTTCATGGACAAGGAACCATTCTCCCACTTACCCACCTGCACAAAACAAAAGATAGATCACCTTCAAATTAATAATGATTGACTTAATCTTCTCTGCATTTCTATCAGTTTTACAGAATTTACTAAGAATAATCATCTTTATTTAGATATTTCAGTGACTGAGCCTGAGAGCACTATAATGTGAGGAAAAACAAAGCATCACCTGGAAGAAATCAGAGTGAAAAATGAAAGCAGATTATATTTCACACTACAGTCCATTAGAGAAAAGAACTGCTGCTCAGTTACTGCAACAGTTTTGAGATGTTTCATCAAACATAAATAATTTTTTTGCATCTTATAGGAAAAATATTCTCATCCCACTGAGATCTTAAAGCCTCATTATGTTTAGTTATCTGCATTTAGCTGCAGCTACGCTATCTGTCAACTTAATTTAATTGACGTAATGAGGATTTTAGGATTTATCTTCTTTTTTCATAGAAACTTTAAGGAAGGACAAAATCAACCAATATGTGAAAAAGAAATGAAAAAGAGAGAACTGGAGAGGACTGGAACCCAAAGTAGAGAATGAGAACAAGGTTATCCTGAAGGACGGGGCTGATACAGAGGGTAGAGCAGAATTTAGATCACCAGGAGAGAGAGAGAAAAAAAAGAAAAGAAAAAAAACGAGAAGGCAAACAGGCACAGAAAAGGGAATGAGGAGATAAAAAATAATAAAATAAATAAACACGAAAAGAGGAACCAAAAGAGAACAATAAAAAAACTGAAAGTCTGCACACTGAAATGCAAAAAGCTGGTTCTTCTTCTGAAGAGGCTACAGCTGGATGTCTTGAAGACCCTCTACTCAGCTGAACAAGCATCACCAATTGGTCAGTGCCCCCCACCTCCACCCCCCCAGTTTCAACCTCACCTGGATATTTTTTGGTCACTTTCATCAAGGGAAAAATATGGTTTGAAGTGACAGATTCACACTACAATGAGACACTCGACTGGACAGAGAGCTGTGATTTTGGAGGATGTAAAGTCCAGTTTGCACACTCATTAAATATGTAAATGTGTTCAAACACACTGAGCTCCGGGGAGCACAAACTTGGCAGCCTGGCCTTGAATGGATAAGCTGAAGCTGTGTATCCCCGGAGCACAATGTAGCCCTTTTTTTTTAACGAGACACAAATTGAGTGAGAGAGAAAAAGTCTCAACACAAGAATAAACAATTCAAATCAGCTCGGGGGTGGGGGGGGGTGACTTGATGTTACCGAAGTCTTTACTTCAAAAGTTCAGAAAGTGGGAGGGTATAGATGAAGGAGCTGGGAGTCATTAGAAAGCAAGAAGAGTTGTTCAGCTTGAATTCAGATTAAACATGGACGAGAAAGCGGGAGGTTAATGTGGAGGGGGAGAAACGGTGGTGCAGGCCTCAGATAGGAAGAAAGGAGAGAGAGAGAGAGTGGGGAGGCTGGAGAGGAGCGGCTCACCTTGTTCTCTGATCAGAGGACAGGAAGGCAGAGGAAAGGGGAATACTGAGAGGAAAGAGCAGAAGGAGACGGCAGGACACAGGTACAGGAGAGGTGGAGGAGCAGCGCTTGTGAGTGTGCAGGTGGTGGAGATGAGACAGGTTCGTCTGAGGTTCTAGATCCAGAGTATGACTCAGGATTAATGCTCCATACTTAGTTTTTCCTATTTGTCCACCCTTTGGATTTATTAGTTTTAAATACACAACACATTTTCAAATGTTAAATATATATAAAAATACAAGATTTATTACAACACCTTCGTAAAATGATTGCCTAACTAAATGTTTAAAGTTTTTCTTGAAACAGAAAAAACTTGACTAAAAGATTTAACATATCATTAGCCTCATAGCATAATTGCCTAAGACATATTTGGTCACAAATGACTTGGGTTTATATGTCATGAGGCTAACAATATGATATCTTGGTWATCACGTTTGATTTGAACCTAAGCATAACAAAATCAGCTTAAGTCACACTATACTGACGTAGACCAGAGGTCTTTAAAGTAACTGTGACCTCAATTCTTTATAATAAATATGAATGCTTTTTTGGAAAGATAACATTGCAAAATAAATTTCACGCTGCTAAGATGAACAGTTGTTGAGATATTTGCATGTGAAATAACAGGAAGTTAGGGGGAAGGAAGGGGAATGTCTGCATGTGAACAGAGCATTGTGACAACAGCTAACAACACAGGCTGTAGAGAAGAATCTGATGTTTTTTCTATAAAAATTTTTGAGTCGCTATCAAAGAAAGATGAAGAATAGTTAAAGTTTAAATAATATTGTTTTAATAAAGAAAGACCAGGGAGTTTATTTTATTAAAGAGTTCCCCTTGGATGTCACTTCCTGTTTCATTTTGGCTGAACCAAGTTCAAAAGGAAATAAGCCAGTTATGTGACAAAATGGGTAAAAATCGTGCATTATGCCAATATTTTTCAATATAAAGATGTTTTCTTAGACTTTTTGAATTTGAAGGATGGGCATTTCACAGGGCCTTTAACCCTGTTCCTCGTGATCCACACTATCCTGCAAGTTTTAGGCTGTGTCCAAATTCAGGGGCAGCATCCCTCGAAGGATGAATGTGTTAGCCGCCTACACCACTGCGCTGCACCAAAGGCTGAATAAACTCGAAAACTCCTCCAGTTGCAGCCCACAAATGCGTTCTCCTTTTTCTCTGATTCGAGGGTTGGGTCTGATGGATCCTTCTCAGCCCACCTTAACCAGAGAATTCTATTTTACTTGTCATCACGGTCAAAGCAAGAGAAATAAATGCAGTTACAAAAAAAAATCTCACAAAATCAACAAAAACCTGCTGGTATAAAAATGTAAAGTTTAAAGCGGTTGTGTTTTTAATGCTTTTATCATTTGAATAGACATGCTTCTAAATATTATTCTTGTCAGAAATTAAATGAGCTGGTATGATGAAATAAACGTGCCCTTAGTTCTTCAAATATTGCCTCTAAGCTAATTTTATTTTATAATACCTATTAGTGATATTGATATTTTGCTAATTTCAAACTATTTTTGTGTCAACATAAATTAATTATTTTAATACAATATAGTAATTTCTGTATTATTTTTTGGGAGGTCACATCTAATAAATGTTATTACAGAAAATCTAACTGCTAATTTTAAATCAATATTTTTACTTTTAATACTTAAGTACAAAAAATATCAGATACTTTAAGACCTTTACTCAAGTAATATTCCTAAAGGAGACTTTAACTTTTACCAAAGTAATTTTTTGGTAACATACTTGTACTTTTACTCGAGTATGTGGTATATGTGGTACTTTATACAACACTGGTCCCGGCCCACCTAGACTGGGTAGGTCAGGTCCTTCAAAGGACTCAGCCCCTGAATTTGGACACAGCCTTTGATGAACACTTGCTTTGGCACACCTGATTCAAATGGTTAAATTACCTGCTTAGAATGTCACCAAGTTTATCAGAAGCCTGTCAATCACTCATTCCTTTCAGTCAGGTGTGTTGAAGCCAGAAAACAACATGGAGGACAGTGGGTCACTATGAACAGGGTAAGACCTCTGATAATCCGTTATCTTAAAGGGGTCGAATCAAATGATTTGATCAACTGAAGGTGAAGGTGTTTTTTACATTTTCCCATTCAAAAGACTTCTGCAATTATTTTATGAAAATGATGTATACATGTAAAGTTTGATAGAAATGTTTATTCATATGTAATTTACTGGTCTTAGTCTAAAGTTTACTAATCCTATCGTTGAGCTACAGGCAGTGAATAAATATTTACATCACAACAGCAGGAATACAGTTAATAACATATTTTTAGAACTTCTTCTGTCCTTATTTGCATCAATTTTCTTTGTACTTGTGTAAAACGTCTAGATTAAAAAATTTACTGAAGTAACTTAAGACTGGCAACTTTGTGATACAGAGCAGGTTTTTGTTCAGCAATGGAAACTGAATAAAAGGTCCTTATTCAAACAAGATTTTGGCATCAAAATGACGCCTGGCATCGCTGTTTAGTTCTTGGAAAGAATCTGATTTCATTGTATTACACTTAGAGAAGCTCTTCGCACAACGTAGCGTGACCCACTCTGCAGATTTGAACAGTATCTGAAATGGCAGCGTAAACAACTCAGCAGGAGGTGACGAGGAAAGTGGAGGACGTCTGGTTGATTGCAGATGACATAATGTGCAAATCATCTATAGTTACATATTATTACCAGCTAATAATATTACCTCTCTTATAGATGAATGTTTAGCCTTCTACAGATTAAAAACCTCTCACACAGCTTGTTCTAAACTCAGGCACAAAGGATTTCTAGTCTCAGTTTAGTCCTTTGTTCCTGCATTTATGCGTGCTTGTATGTTTCTGTGGGAGCAGGAGCCGCTCTGATAATAGCTCAATAGGCGGGCGGCTCTCTGGACAGACTGCCAGTCAATCACTGGGTTGACTTGAGGAGACAGGCAATTATTTGCATACATATTCACACCTACAGAAATTCTGAAGTCCACAATTAAACCTAACCTGCATGTCTGTGTAGGAGGAAAATGGAGTCTAAGGGAATAACCCACGCAGGCACAGGGAGATTATGCAAACTTTAAGCAGAATTACTACGGTGAGCAAGAAGGCCCAAACCCTGGAGACTGAAACATCCGGTGTGTGACTGAGGCTCAGTGTTTACATAACAGGATTAATATGGAACAGACAGGACTGGTTCGGAGGTTTGTGTTGAAAGATCATGAGCCAATCAGGAATTTCTGAATGTGATAGCCGGGGCGGTGACCTTTGAAATCTGATTAGAGCAACCAGAAAATGTGTGATGATCAACTGGTGGAGCCCTGGCCATAATTAGTCTATGAAAGCATCCCAACTGGTCAGTGAAATATGAAATAAGTAGTAGCTGAAGTCAGTTGTAAACCAGCTTAGAAAGGCTTTGTGGGAGCGGTGCCTTTGCCTGAGCCAATCAGAGGGCTCAGACACAGAACAGTGTTATTAAAGGGCCAGGCGGTGAACAATTATTTGCAGAAATGTCACTATTTTAAGAAACTTTTATAAAAAATTCACTCTCATATTTGTGAGTTTAGAAATTGTAAAACTATTTTGTGAATTTAGAAATGGTTATTCCAGCAGGCACTAAGCTAGTTATTTTGTTTGAGCCTTGTGAGATTATAGCTTAAAAAATATTGTTTTAACCTGTGAACAATAGTTAAATTGGAAGCCCGAATTGTGAGCAGAAAACTGATTAAGTTCTCAGTTAAATATTTATTTTCAGATCTAAGTCACCATTTCACTGTGAGCCTGTCTGTGACTCTGGAGACCTAAAAACAAAATGGCCACGAATCATGTGTTCTTACAATATTCATAGAACTGGTCACACCCTGGATATGAAGTCAACATGTAAACAAGGAAGTACCCCTAAATCAGTTCTAATTCCTGAAATGTTAAACATTATGTTTACACTGATGGAGCAAGGCACATGTTACGCTGAACAGAGACTTGTTTTTTTACAGTTTAAAGTAAATGAATACAATCAATAAAATAAGTGTGCTCCCGAAAATCAGTTAATTAACTACAAAGTATCTAATAAACCATCATGGTGAAATGCATATCTAAATGTGGACATTCACACAATTTACATTTTTAGGCTAAATTTGGTCCAGTTTAAGCCTAGAGGTTTCCAGGAGCTCATTTCACAGAAGTCAGATTTCTAAACTCAGGATCTGAGCTGTAAGCTGAGCTTGAACAAGCCTTCAACTTGTCAACAGGTGTAATCTGTTGCTCTAACACCAAGCCACGCTCAATCAAGGCAGCTCATTCAAGCCAGCTGTAAATCGTTAAAGGGCCTATATCATGTAAAATCACCTTTTTGAGCTTTATATCATGTTATGATGTTATCCTCTCATCAAAAACATGCCCAAAGTCTTACTTTGACTCATTCATGCATGTTTGAGAAATCCTGAGGCAGCCAGGCAGGGGAGCAAAAATGACCGGTTGGGATTAGAACCGCCTTTTGGGACTAGCTCTTAATCTGGGCTGTGTCTCTAAACTGAGCTTCCTCATCAGGGAGGGATCAGGGACCTCCCCACCCCACCCCCGCCCGTGACTCCTGCAGGCTCTCTGCAGCAAACAAATGGTGAAACTGAAATTGTCTGCTGAGCTCAAAATACTGCGTCTCAGTGCAGCCCTTTTCAGATTCAAAATACCTTTGAGGAAAAATATTTTCAGGTGGCAAGTAAACTACGCTGAGCTTCCGTATCACAGTCCACCCCCAAATTATTTCATTTTAGCAAAGGTGAATTATATGTTACTTTAGTAAAATTAAAACGGTTTTAATAGTTTGGGTGCTGTAAGAGCATTCAGTGTGCTCGGCCAATAAACATGCATTTATGCATGGACCAATCACATTCCTTTATGTCCCTTGAGAGACCCTAATAAGTTCTGAAACAGAAACTAAAAAAAATCCAACTACAAACAGATAAACGTAGTAATAAGGACTATAAATGACCTCATTACCACTGAGGCAAAACAAAAAAGGTTTATAAAGACTGTGAAGGGGTCCCCTGTGGCCCAAAAGCATCTGTTATTTGTTAGGTACCTGTAAAAGTGCATTATGCTAAAATTACCAATCAAAAACGTCTGAACTAGACTCTGCAAATACCAACAAAAAAAGTCCTGAATCCCTTTTAGAAGAGACATTTAGCAGAAAAGTTACTGTTCTATGTCTACTAAAAAGAAAACATTGAAGAAAGCAAATTGCTTAAATTTTGCGCACACACACACACACACACACACACACACACACACACACACACACACACACACACACACAGTGCAAATATTGTACAATAATTGTAATATTTTGTTCATTTCTGGCCCCTGAAAAAAAGATCCCTAAAGTTAAGGAGCGCTTGGGCTCTCTGTGTTCAGCTGTCCATCAGAGTCTTCGTAATCTGGGTGTTATATTTGACTCGGACCTGCCTCTGGAAAAACATGTTAAAAATTTAGTGTCTACATGTTTTTTCCAGCTGTGTAATATTTCTAGACTTCGGTCTACGATGTCTGCCTCAGATCTGGAAATGGTCATACATGCTTTCGTTTCTACCCGCCTGGATTTCTGTAACAGCCTGTTTATGTGCTTGAACCAAAAACAGCTACATCGTCTCCAACTTGTTCAGAATTCTGCAGCTAGACTTTTATCTCAAACTTCTAAATCTAGTCACATCTCTCCAATCCTTTCAGAACTTCATAGGCTACTTGTTTATTTTAGGATTTGGTTTAAAATCCTGGTTCTTACATTTAGAGCCTTAAGAGGCCAGGCACCTGCCTATGTTAGGGACATGCTCTCCACATACGATCCAGTCCGCTGCTTGTGCTCTCAGGATCAAAATCTATTAGCCGTTCCACGACCACGCTACAGGACCAGTGGCGACCGGGCTTTTTCGTTTGCAGCCCCTACCCTCTGGAATGCCCTTCCCTTTGAGTTACGTTCTATCAATGATGTCGAATTATTCAAAAAGGGTGTAAAAACCTTCTATTTTAAACAAGCTTTTAGCTAGATGTTTTGGTTAACTTAAAGTTGTTGAACCCAGTGCCTGTTGTGGTAGCTGAGTTTTCTTTTGCCTTGGACCAAGTTTGATTTACATTTTTCTGTAAATGTAATATGAAAATGTAAATGGGTTGGTATTTTATTTTTACTGTTGTCTTTTTTCTTTTTTTTTTTTTTTCTTTTTCCTTGGCTCAGTGTTGCTGCTGATACACCTTTTTGGGTTGGAAATACTGGATGGCTCCATGATATTTTTATTGCATTGTTGTATTGTGTATTTTTGTATTGTACAMCACTTTGTGAAGTTATTTCTAAGAAAAGTGCTTTATAAATAAAAAATTACTTCCTTACTTACTTACTTACATTATTGTGATTCTTTTTGAGCTATCACATCATTTTCATATGAAAGGTTTCCTTAAATAATGTTGGATTAAACATAAAACAACATTTTTGATACTGTCTCTGCAGCAATCTGTCCAATGTTGTTTTGATCTTGATCTTTTTTACAATAGCTACAGTTTAAAAAATCAGCTGGTATTTCCAGTGGTATAAAAGTTAAGTGAAGGGGGACTTTATAAATGGCAGAGATCTTAAAACTGTTTGGATGATTTTAAATTAAAACCAGCCTTWAAGAAGGGAGTCTTTGTGAAGCAAAACTCTGGAGATTTTGCTAAATGATATCACTCAAAGGCACCTTGATTGAGTTGATTATATCTAATCTGAGAAGCATTTAAAAAGCTTAAAGTTTAAAATGCTTAACAAGTGAAAATCAGATGATAAGAGATCTACAGTAAATGGAGTCACTCAGTGAAACAGCAGATTCTGACATCTGCTCATATTCTGACACTTCAACCTCTTTTTAACCGTTAACATTGAAGAACGATGAGCTTCGACATCACAGAATATTCAGACGCAATCAAACACACATCTTTGTGTCTTACCCTGTCCCATTGTCTGTCTTTGTTGAGCAGAATAATAACGAGTTTGGGGTGCATCTGGTAGCCATCCTCGCTGAACGACAGATTACGTCCCTCAAARGTCACATTCATCAGGTACCTGCAGACGGAAACAGTAAGAGATGATTTGACAACTTATTCTTCTCTTTTTACAATAAAAGGCTTAGCTTTTTATTATGAATTTACATGATGTGGATTTTTTCCTCAAATGAGTAAGATTTCCCACAAACAGAGCAATAATTAGCACATTAGTCATTACGCACAATTTAAAAAGCAGAGGTATATTGCTTGAAAAAAAAAAGTAAAAGTAAAAATAGCTTAACAGAAAATGACTTAAGAGTAAAAGTAATGATCGGAAAGTAAAAGTACTTTTACACACACMCTAAGATATTAAGTGTTGAATTTACTTAACTAAACTGCTTCCACTTCACAGAGATGAGTAAACTGAGCAAAAGGAACAATGTAAATTGCTATACATTTACTCAAGTCAGTTTAGTGTATGAATGTGATTGGCACTGATTACTCTCCATAGATGATTGTACATGTTAGCTTTGTAAGAGATCTAATAGAGTGCTGTGTGCATGGGTAAATGAGGACAGATTGTAATGTGAAGTGCTTTGAGTTTCCTGTTGGATAGAAAGGCGCTATACGAGTACAGTCCATTTACCATTTACTATTTACCATTTAGTGGAACCAGTTGACAAAACTTGTTTAAGTAAATTCAACATTCATTTTTAGAGTGCATAAACAACTCTATATATGATGAGCTCAGACATATTTAAATTTGAAGAAAGTAACTAAGTGCTAAATTTTAAAGTAAAGAAATAAAAGTATCATTTTATCTTTTAAATGTAATGAAATAAAAGTAAAAGTAACGATAAAAAATTCTTGGTAAAAAAAACAAATCCTTTGTAAATGTACTTGGTTACTATACACCTGTCCTGCTCTGATTAAAAAGATGAGCAGATGATGGTTTTAAAACAGGACTGGGGAAAATGCAGTTTGGCAAATATGTTAAATGGAAAATTTGCAATCTCTTTATTAAAATAGAGCAAATTACTCTTAATAATGTTAAATTAAATAAACTTTTATCTGATGGAATGTCAGATCACAGATACCTGATTTACATTTGTCTTTTTAACTAGGCAATGCATACTGTACCTGGGATACACAGGGTATTTAAGAACATGGTACTTACTGGTTACTTACCAGGTACTTACTGAGTATGTGCGTGGGTCATACCTGATATAAGATCTTGTGCAGTTTGTTAGTGCTCACAATGTGTTGGGGATCAGTTCTAGTTTCTATCACATTAGATAGTAGGTCGATATCTATAAATTTGACTGGGTTATTGCCATTTATATGTTTTAGCATCAGTTGGCTGTGGCAGCCATCTTGAAATCGGTTACCTCTAGAAGATAATGAGCTGTAGAGACACATCCAATAAATAATTTTTTCTGTAAGTTTCATTAAAATTTGTTTAGTGGTTCATGGGATATTTTGCCATCAGACAGACAAGCACATTACAAGAAAAAAATGTTGCCCATTTTACAGTATATCTTTCAATGTAATAAATAAATTATAGGTTTTTGAAGCTACTAGTCTTACTCATCTATCAGAAAAATGTGAAAATACCACATTTCCTTCTCATCTGCGTAATAAACGTGTACAATTTTACATTTTTCAAGGGTTATCTGCATAGTAAAGCTGAAAGTCAGTTTTTACAGGTTCTGAATGTGCATTCAGCTCAGCAAATATATTGTTTACAGGAAAAAAACAGCGTATCGGCAATGTAATATAAATTTATGCATCTTTTTGGATGCATTAAAGAGAAAATAGTATTTTCTTCTGCCAGCTGAGTAAAATAATTTCACCATCTTTCAGCTAAACAACAATCAGCATCCACATCACCTCATGTGTTCTTGTAACAGTTAAACAGGCACGGCTGTGTTTATGTCAGGTAAAATCATCTCTTTCACACAGAATCTCTTAACTCCTCCCACTTTCCCAAAGACTGTTTCTATGGCAACACTGCCTCAAAACCATTCACATAATATATACTCTGTCTATCTATCTATCTATCTATCTATCTATCTATCTATCTATCTATCTATCTATCTATCTATCT